ATCCCCTCTTCTTGATGGTGCTGACAAGCAGGCGAATTGAGCAGCAGGAGCTTAAAGGCAGGGTCCGGCTGGTTGGCAAAATGGACGTTGCTTCCTGGATGATGGAGGAGTGACTGTGGCAGGGAGGGAGGCCTGGAGCTCAGGTTCTGGGCTCGAAGTGGGAGCTGTCTGTAACCCGGCCTGAATCCAGGCCCCCATGCCTGGTTCCCGCAAAAGGACTCTGTGGGGGAGGGGAGAGCACGTCCCTGCGGCTAGAGACGCGGGTTAGGAGAGCCTTGCTGGTCTCTGGCAGGCCTGGGACCCAAAGTGAGCTCCTCCTGGGTTCACAGTTGTGGCCTACTGTGGTACTTGATATCAGAAAGCAGCCTCTGGGGACTCAGCGGGATTTTACTGACTTTATGAAATTTTCATGCATTTACAATATTAGATCTTGGCCAGATGCTGTGGCTCACACCAGGAACCCCAGAGCTTTGGAAGGCCGAGGCTAGGATCATTGCAGTCCAGGAGTTCAAGACTAGCCTGGGAAGCAGAGCAAGACCCAGCTCTACAAAAATTAAAAAGATCAGCCAGGCATGGTGGCATATGCCTGTAGTCCCAGCCACTCTGGAAGTGAAGCTCAAGGCTACAGTGAGCTATGATTCTGCCACTGTACTCCAGCCTGGGTGACAGAGTGATACACTGTCCCTAAATATAGGTATCAAATATAGAGGCATTATAATCTCTTCACTGAGGCCCAACCTGAGGAAAGCATCCCTTTTATTGGAAGGAAAAGAGAAGGAAGATCATAGTAACAAAATAAATCCTGAGTCCAAATGTAAAGTTTTCATATTAGAAACTAATTCACCTGCTCCCTCTTCATAAGTCACCCCTGACAGCTTTATTGGCCCCAAATAGATTCCTTAAATTCAAGACTTGTATAAAACAAATTTTAAATCTTCTTAGAAAACATCCTTATTTTAAAAATAAATATTGGACTTCCAAATAAAAGGATCAATGTAAAAGTGGAGATTTAAGGGTGATTTTCTAAATGTAAATTACTGGAAAGTTCATCAGAAACCCCAGCAATGATAACTGAGGTGAGCTTTCTCCAGTTCCAAGGAAGATCAGAAGTGATATCTTAGAAAATGCTGTTGAGTCCTTCACAGGTTCACTAAGTGAAGTTTGCAGTCAGGCCCTGGGGCCACCAGAAGAATGAATCCAAATGGACCTGTGCTGAGGCTGCCAATGACAGTCTCCTGTAGTGGGCAGGCCCTGGATGGAAACAAGCCCAGGCGTTCTTTCTGGGAGGGTAGGAGAGATGGGAAGGGCAGGAGGGAGGGGCTGGGGAGTCCTGAAGAGACAAAGTGTGGGGGTGCCGGTGAGGGCCAGCGGCCCTAGGACCACGCGCCGGCGGGTGCACACATCAGAAAATGAAAACCTCCTGGCATTTCAGACCATACGTTTTATGCTTTGTGCTTAATCTGAAACTCGCTGGCAGTTGGCACTTATTGAACAGCTATGTAAATGTAAAATTTTAAACCATTTTGAAACCCTTCAGATTCGGGTTTCATTGGCTGAAAGGGAAAGAATGGGGAACCCCCATCTGTTTAGTGCTGTGCTCGGCATCTTTTACAAAGCATCTCCAGTCATGCTCGTGGCGAGGGGGCCTTGTTCAGCAGAGGAAGTACGTTGCAGAGCTGCTGTCATCCAAACAGGACTGTGCTGGGAGAAACCAGCGGGGAGGGAACAGGGAGTCCCACCACAGACCAGACTGTGGTAGGAATCTCACATTCAGCAAGAGGAGTATTTCAGTGTGGGGGGGGTACGATTTCTATAACAACTGATTAATGGAAGAATTCGCTGACTGGAAAAAAAATACAGTTGCCCCTACATGCACAAAAATTACTGAAAGGATGAAGAATTTAATTATAAGAATAAAACAATTCTTATCAAACCATATGAGCAGTCAGCTAATGAGGTTTCGATGTAATGCCCGCCAAGGATAGCTAGCTACACCATGCTTCTGGACACAGGTTCTCCCTAAGCTGCAGCCAGCAGAATCATAAACGCTGGTTTATTCATGAGATGCTGGATCAGGGTGAGCAAGCTGGGTGCTGGCTGAGTGTGGCTGGCCCTGCTCCACGAGGAACTTAGAGAAGACTGCCCGGCTGAAGGGAGCCCACAGCCAAGCCGGACTCCGGCACTCCCACCCCAGCCCCAGCTTCGTCCCTCCTGGACATACCAGTCTCTCCAAGCCTTTGGGTTTCTGCACATCCTGTTCCCTCTGTGAGGAACACACCCTCACCACAGTTTTTTGGGGTTTGTTTTAACCTGAAACATCCAATTAACCCTTAAAATTCAGCCCAAATTTCGGTTGCTCCAGGAACCTTCTCTTTCTCCTTCCTTAGGATGGGTTAGATACGGCACATCCGAGGCTCCATTACACCCCACGGAAAACATTCCTCAGTATATGGGCCCTCATTCCAGGTGTTAACTCAATTTTGGATTCCTTAAAGAATACACTTTTACCCCAGCATCTCTGCATCCCCCATCCTGTGACAAGGGCAGGGGACCCCAGGAAACTCTGTTTCTTGTGGATGTGAATGGCATTTCCGCCATCAGTTCAGGCTTCTTGATTCTCAGCTCATCTCTGCCTCATGTCACTTTGGCCCTAGATACCTTTGCTGGAATTTTGTGTGTTTTGAAATGTTTTCATGTTGAATGGCAATTTCAGAGCATTGATGAGTTACCCAGGGTGCTATTTGTTTAAATGTCAGATCCACATGATGTGGCTGCAGTCAGAGTTTCATATCCTAGGCATATCTTTAAACGACAGAAAACCCAAAAGCTGCCAGATACACCACTGCGTTGTGTGGGTTCTTCCATCAGAAAGTTTTTAAACCCTTTTCTTCCTTTCTCGGACAATTATGTTCCCGAATTGGCCAATGGTGCGACTAGCCACAGATGCGGTCAGGCCACGGCCCAAGCCCTTGCTTCTTAGGCCACTGCCAGCCTCCTCCCAGCTTACTCCTGACTCCTCTGCCTGCCCCTCTGTGCCCTCTCTCAAGCTGCCAATAACTTGTTTTTTTCTAAAACGTGTTTGCAACTGGCCGTCCCCACGCTTGAGAAAGGCCAGCATCTGTCTATGCAGCTGGACCAGCAGGGTCTCCCAGGACGGCCCTTCCAGCTCTGCACGTGGCCCTGGCTCAGGCCCGCCACCTGCATGAGATCGGACATCGTCCTTCCAACATCTGCCTCAGGCACCTCCTTGGCCTGCAGCATTCCCAGCAGCTGGACTCATTCATTCACTCATTCACTCAGTCGCTGTGTATCAAGCCTCTAGGTAAGGTACAAGTCATAGAGGCCGTCTCTTTTACTTCCTTTCACATCTAAACAAACGGTCCTCATGGATCACAACTTTCCCCAGCAACCTTCCTTGGCATCCACTTCCCATTGGCTCCTGCTTTTCTGAAATTCTTGTTTTGATGTTAAATCTGGTACATCATTATGTCTGTACATAGAGATAGCCCATTAAGAGATTTTTAGCTCCTTCAGTGAGCTTGTGTTTTTATTACATGTATGTTTTTACCCCCGATATCATAATCCTCAGCCACAGTGTTCATGAATAGCTGGTGGTTTGTTGACGTCAACATTAAATCAGGCTCTGTCCATGTGGATTTCTGGGCCCTTCGTGCTGTAGCAGTCTGGTGAGTCGCACCTCCCTAGTCCTGTGGTTTATTTCAGCGGCAGGTCCACCCTGCTCTTTTCTGGAGTCTGCATCGAATAGAGCCACAGGCATCTAACAAGTCTTCTTCACTCAATTCTGACATTCCTCCTGTAAATCTGGAGGAAGTGGCTGGTGCGCAGTGTCAGCCGGCGTGCAGGCCATCCAGCGGGGCTCTGGCCAGCTCCCACTGCTCATCTCTTCTCAGTTCCTGTCTCCTGAGTAGAGCTCTCCTGCTCCGCAGCTTGCTATGTGTAAACTCTTCACATGCTGTGGGAATATGTGGTGAACAAATGCACTCGTGTATATCCACCACGAAACATCAAGCCCCTGAGGCTTAAAGAGAACATATACAGACACGTGATTTTTGGTCCTACTCCAAAACCTTCTACTCAAAGCATCTTGGGTAATGCAGGTGGTTGAATTTTAGTTTTCTCATGTATAACATAGATATAATAAATATACTTTCCTTACGAAATTGTTGTGTAGGTCCCACAAAGTAATATATGAAAGCATTTGTAATGTCCCAAGTGTAAGATGTGTCCGTTCCTATGAGTAGAGCATCTAGACACCTCAAAGGAAACCTAGCAAGTTAGATAAATGTGGAGGACAATTGTGTTCCACAAATTAAACTGCATCAAGAGTGAGCCCGGGTGGTAACGCCCTTGCACTATACCTACGCCTCGTACTTAACTGCTTAATCATATTAAACCTTTCAGTTGCAAGAAGAATCTAAATATTATATATTTATATATATACAATATATGTGTGTGTATTTATAATATATATCATATATATAATATTTAGATTCTTCTTGTAACTGAAAGGTTTATATGTATAAAATATATGTCGTTTATACATATAAATATGTTTTATACATATAGATAAAATAAATAAATAAATAAATATGTATATATCTTTACTTTCTTGGCTATCTGTTATATTCTTGGTACAAAGTACAACTCAGAAACACACAGTAGTTTCATCAAATCCTTGAAAAGAGAGGAACTAGATAGCACTTCAAGATTCCTCAAAATCTGCCCCGTTGTGGAAGGCAAGGGCCTCTTGCTTAAATGCTCCCTTCAAGATGAAGGTCTGTTTGTAATTGTTTGAACAATTCATTTAGATTGCCTGACCTTCGTCTTACCCACCCTCTGCCCTTGGAGAGGGCTTCCCTTCACGGAGTGAAACAGGATGAAAGCCCCATCACTAAAATGCCCGCGGGAGCGAGCCGTCCCTGTGGGGCTGGCTGGTGCAGGCAGGATGAGAACATTGACGGCTGCTCATCTATCCCCAGATGGAGGTGGACACCGAGGAGAAGCGGCATCGCACGCGGTCCAAAGGGGTTCGAGGTACGTCCGTGCTTCTCTGCTTCCTGAGGCCGGCTCAGAGTCGCCTTCCTCCTGTGGAACTGAGGCTCGATTCACTTCACACCACCCTTTCGGTAATTTTCTGTGGAAGAGGGGCGCTGGTGATCGATGGTAAATGTTTATCTGTTTCCATCTCTCTGCAGTTCCCGTGGAACCAGCCATCCAAGAGCTGTTCAGGTTAGTGCCATGTGGGTAAAACACCTCCCCATTAGCGGTTTGGAAAACTCACGCCTTCTAATGGGCACGCTGCACTTTTGAGCTCCTCCGTAGCTTGCTCACGCCCTGCTGCACTGATGAAATTAATTCCCCGGAGACTTGCTCGTAAAAAGCCTCCCAAATTCCCCCTCCTTTGGATTGTGTGATTTCTCTCCTGTGTCTGGGCTTCCCTCCTTCTCTTTGCTGCGACGGCCGTGCTCCATCTCACCTGCCTGCCTGCAGCACTGTGTAATCAATTCTTTCCTGTTGCAGCTGTCCCACCCCTGGCTGCGACGGCAGTGGTCATGTCAGTGGCAAATATGCAAGACACAGAAGGTAATGCCTGCATCTTTTTTCCACAATGTGCTGTCTAAAGTGACTTATTTAGGGACCCAGTCTTAATGATGAAATGTGTGGGCAGGTGTGCTTGGAAAGCAATGCACATTCTGCTTTCTCTTTCTTCTCTCACTGGAAGTCGGTCTTTGTCTCTTGACAAGGTTCTCAAAACATAAGCTGTTCTATCTCGTGGGCAGAATAGGTGATACTCCTAAGGGTGACACACATTCAGACCAGCCTCAACCTAATTTTCCCACCTGCATACGTGGCGCTCAGCACACAGCCACCTACGAGCTTCCCATTCCTTACCAAGGAGCCCCAGTTCTCCTTCTGCACTTCCTCATTCTGGAAGCAGCAGATGCTACACAATGAAAGGTCAATTAAAATGTGACCTGCTGACCTGTCGGTAGACTCCACTTCCACCGTTTAACAGGGTTCATCCTGGGACACTAAGCCCATTCTTACATCTGGGTGGCTACATCTAGAGGTGAAGGTCAGGGCAGATCAAGCTGGCAAGGCTGGGACTTCAGTGATCACATCGATCTTGCAAATACCGGCACATCAGGTCTGTGGCAGGAATAGGTGTGGAAGACCTTTAGAAACTAAGGGGGTAGGTGATGATTGTCAGAATGTATCATGGCAGCATTATATCTTATATGCCTATGGCTGACTGTAAGTTACACATCAGTCCTTTAGATGTTTTTCTGGTAAGCATTTTCTTCCCTATGCTATTCATGAAGATGTGCTTTCAATAGAAAGGTTTCAATTATGATGAGGGAAAAGAGTTTACAGGCTAGGATATGCTTTTAGCTTGACTTTTAAGACCAAGGTGACTCCAGTCTAGCAAACCCTCAGTGAGCAGACCCAGCTGCAACGCTGATTCTAAAGTAGGTGCCTCTGCCACACGTCTGGGTGGCCTCTCCTCATGGCCTTGCGTTTCATCTCCTTTTCAGTGAAACATTAACTTACGAGTGAAATCAAGCAATTATTTTCGTCGTTCTTTAGTAAAATCAAAGGAAAAATTCCAAACTACTCCCAAATCTTCATGCTAGCATCTGCAGCAGCAGGGAATGTTTAATGGAGGTCCCTCATGAAATGATTGTCTGATTTCCTCTGTTACAGACCAAAGGATTGTGGGCTATTTTTCAGATAATTTTGCAATTTCAATTATTACATTTTGTCAATTATATTATGATTGTTATTGTATAAAATAGTAAATTATTGAATTACGTAATTGAAATAAGTAGTTAACTTAAAATATTATTTTATGAAGAAATGTGTATGTCAGCACTTAATCTAAAAGTCTAAAACACTTCATTGTTTATGTTTTCAAAAGAAGTTAGTCACCGATGAGAAAACTCATTTTCCCCAATCATCTCTTCATTAGTCAGACTTTATCACACTGTTATATAAAATTAAATTTGGCTAAAAGTTTATTTTTTTCTAATTTTCATGTATACGTAGTAGGTGTATATACTTATGGGGTACATAAAATATTTTGATACAGGTATGCAATGTGAAATAATCACATCATGAAAGGTAGGGTTTTCATCCCCTCAAGCATTTATCCTGCTTGTTATGAGCAATCCAAATATACCCTTTTACTTATTTTTAAATGTACAGTTATAAAAAGTTTTAATTAGGTGTGAGCTTGATATAATATTATAGCCATAGTTTTACAGGAAAAACCATGACATTTCCAAATAATTTCAAACATTCATATGTTTAACCAAGGTGCATTCTACTAATTCTGGCAGGATTGTTGCATAGGTACATACATGGCAATGTGGTTTGCTGCTTCCATCCCCCGGTCACCTGTATCTGACATTTCTCCCCATGTTATCCCTCCCCAACCTCCCTACCACCCACTGTCCTTCCCATAATCCCCTCCAACAGACCCCAGTGTGTAGTGCTCCCCTCCCTGTGTCCACGTGTTCTCATTTTTCAACACCCACCTATGAGTGAGAACATGCAGTGTTTGATTTTCTGTTCTTGTGTCAGTTTGCTGAGAATGATGGTTTTCAGATTCATCCATGTCCATACAAAGGACACGAACTCATCGTTTTTTATGGCTGCATAGTATTCCATGGTTTATATGTGCCACATTTTCCCTGTCCAGTCTATCATCGATGGGCATTTGGGTTGGTTCCAAGTCTTTGCTATTGTAAACAGTGCCGCAATGAACATACGTGTGCATGCGTCCTTACAATAGAACAATTTATAATCCTTTGGATATATACCCAGTAATGGGATTTCTAGGTCAAATGGAATTTCTATTTCTAGGTCCTTGAAGAATTGCCACACTGTCTTCCACAATGGTTGAACTAATTTACACTCCCACCAACAGTGCAAAAGTGTTCCTATTTCTCCATATCCTCTCCAGCATCTTTTGTCTCCAGATTTGTTAATGATCGCCATTCTAACGGGCGTGAGATGGTATCTCAATGTGGCTTTGATTTGCATTTCTCTAATGGCCAGTGATGATGAGCATTTTTTCATATGTTTGTTGGCCGCATAAATGTCTTCTTTTGAAAAGTGTCTGTTCATATCCTTCACCCACTTTTGAATGGGGTTGTTTGATTCTTGTAAAGCTGTTTTAGTTCTTTGTAGATTCTGGATATTAGCCATTTGTAGATTCTGGATATTAGCCCCTTGTCAGATGGGTAGATTGCAAAAAACTTTTTCCCATTCTGTTGGTTGCTTGTTCACGCTAATGATTTTTTCTTTTGCTGTGCAGAAGCTCTGGAGTTTAATTAGATCCCATTTGTCTATTTTGGCTTTTTTTTGACAATGCTTTTGGTATTTTAGTCATGAAGTCCTTGCCTACGTCTATGTCTATGTCCTGAATGGTTTTGCCTAGGTTTTCTTCTAGGGTTTTTGTGGTGTTAGGTCTTATGTTTAAGTCTTTAATCCATCTGGAGTTAATTTTGGTGTTAAATGTCAGGAAGGAGTCCAGTTTCTGCTTTCTGCACATGGCTAGCCAGTTTGCCCAACACCATTTATTAAACAGGGAATCCTTTCCCCATTGCTTGTTTTTTTTCAGTTTGTCAAAGGTTAGATGGTTGTAGATGTGTGGCGTTGCCTTCAAGGCCTCTATTCTGATCTGTTTTGGTACCAGTACCATGCTGTTTTGATTACTGTAGCCTTGTAGTATAGTTTGAAGTCAGATAGCATGATGCCTCCAGCTTTGTTCTTTTTGCTTAGGATTGTCTTGGCTATATGGGCTCTCTTTTTGTTCCCTATGAAGTTTAAGGTGGTTTTTTCCAGTTCTGTGAAGAAGGTCATTGATAGCTCGATGGGGATACTGTTGAATCTATAAATTACTTTGGGAAATACGGCCATTTTCATGATATGAATAGATCTGCGTATACTGAACCATCCCCGGGATGAAGCCTACTTGATCGTGATGGATACACTTTTGGATGTGCTGTTGCAGTCATTTTGCCCGTATTTTATTGAAGATTTTTGCATCTGTGTTCATCATGGAGATTGGCCTGAAGTCATCGTTTTGACCATGGCTCATGTTGTATGTAATTATTAGAATGCCAAATATTTTAATACACATAGTTGTCTAGAAGAGCTAATGTGGTATAGTTGAAAAAGAACTATTTCCCAGTTACCTGACCCAGATGCTGGCTTGCACTGTACCACTAATGGACCAGGAGCTCTGGACAATTTCCTTACAGTCTACCGCCTTTGGTTTCCTCTGATCTAAAATAAGAGAGTTGCAGACCTTATTATGTAAAACCACCTCAAACGTTTTGCCACTGTGTGAGATTCTCTTGAGAGGAATCTCACTGAGGGTTTTCTAAACCTTATTATTTTGTGTCTATGTATTATCAGTCATTTTTAACTAGAAGATAAAATTTTCTTAAAATGTGTTCCTTGATGTATTGGGTAAGACTCATGGATATATTAACATCTATGACTATTTCTATTTTAAATTTGGAAGTTTCTGGTTATATCTGACTTTTTATTTTCTTTTTTATTTTTGAGATGGAGTCTCGCTCTGTTGCAGAGGCTGGAGTGCAGTGGCCTGATCTCAGCTCACTGCAACCTCTGCCTCTGGGTTCAAGCGATTCTCCTACCTCAGCCTCCTGAGTAGCTGGGATTACAGGCACCTGCCACCATGCCCAACTAATTTTTGTATTTTTAGTGGAGATGGAGTTTCACCACATTGGCCAGGCTGGTCTCAAACTCCTGACCTCAGGTGGTCCTCCTGCCTCAGCCCCACAAAGTGCTGGGATTACAGGTGTGAGCCACCACACCCAGCCCTGGCATTGCTTTGTACTGGGTTTGAAAGATTGACTCCAAAACCTACCCCTTCCCGCAGCTCTTCTTGCCCATATGTGCCAGCACATACTCTGTGATCATGGCTGTGAGGCTGGCACTTGCTGTGAGGTTCCTGATGGAAACAGAACACCAGGCTTTTTCCAACGAGGACAAAAGAGTAGAAGCCCAAATTGTGGTTCTGATAAAATTACGTGTCATTTTGTGATCTTTTAACAATACATTTTTCCAGTGAATGTGTTTACGTTAAGGCTACAAGTTCATTTTGCTCAGACATTACTTCTGCAGTAGCCAAGTAAAAACCTGGTATTTTAGTACTTTGAGGTGCTGATGTGTTGGAACTTGCCAGGAACAACTTGACGTACATGTGGGGCATCAGCAATGTAAAAAATCAAGTTTTCTGTCTTAGGAAAAGAATACCAAGTGATAAAACAATGCGGGTTATTCTGGGATTTGGTTTAGTTTAGTTTTGTTTTGTTTTTGAGATGGAGTCTCACTCTGTCACCCAGGCTAGAATGCAGTGGTACAATCTCAGCTCACTGAAACCTCTGCCTCTCAGATTCAAGCGATTCTCCTGCCTCAGTCTCTTAAGTAGCTGGGATTACAGAGGCACACCACCATGCCCAGCTAATTTTTGTATTTTTAGTAGAGATCGTGTTTCACCATGTTGGCCAGGATGGTCCCGAACTCCTGGCCTCAAGGGATCCACC